AATCATGGGGCATAATTATTTCTTACAGTTGTTAAAGGAAATACAAATTAGAGCAGCCTGACGACTCCCTATATAAGTCATTTCTATATTTCCTGGTGCCATAAAAAGTCATAAAACCTGAGTTATCGTGAATTCTTATAGGATTTAAAATGTGCTATTTACATTAAACATAATTAATATCCTGGTCCATGTATTAGTGATTGACCTGACTGCTGTTTCAGTCCAGACCTGCAGCAGTCAGCCAGTCAGTGGAGTTCTATTTCCTCAAACATCCACTTTGGCTCAGAGTCAGGTGCCTGAGACCCATAAAACACTCAGATGTTCTTTCAACCTCAAGTTTCTGAGGTTTTTGGAGCAGGTGATCATTAATGCAAATTTATGGGCTATTACAAATCCCCCAAAATGCATTGTGGTTGAATATAAAACATGAACTCTTCACACTTGCTTTATAATTATCAAAGAAGATAAAGAAAAAAAAGGGAAAGTTACAGATTTAGCTGTACTGGTTTCTAGATAAGGTATTGACTTAGCATTTCTAGACAAAAACAAACAAGAACAGCTTCTGAAGAAAGGAGATTTCTTTTGGCAAAAATGTACATTTCTGCTATTTAAAAAAGTTGTAAAGGTTTTAAAGCAAACAAGCTTTCAAAGCAGGGTCTGTGAATATTCCTGTCTGTGCCAGTCTGTGGGTGGCAGAGTCTGTGTAAAACCTGGTATGTGTGCTGGGTGTGTCCCTGTGTGCCATGGCATGGTGGGATAGCCTCTCCTGCTCCTTTGCTAATAACATTAGACTGAAGAAAGCAGCTAGGAGTACTGTTGGTTCCTGTTTAAATTTAAAGTGAGAACAGCTAAACAGAGTCTTATAAAAGGACTATTTTTAGGAATGAATGGTTTAGTCAGTCCACGAGAAGCAGATTTTAAGCAAGCCATTGCTGCATCATAGTAAAGAAATATAGTTGTCTGCTGTGGAAATTTTTGCTTTCTGAGAAAGTAAGTTCTCCGGTGTTGTTTTACATTGTTCTTTATTTACCACAGCTAAAAACTTCCCTCTCCCTCCTAATGTGACTAGTGCTTTCAGTTTAAAGAGATGCCAAGAGTAGCCATTTGACCCTATGAAATTCTTATGTAGATTTTTAGTTCAGAACAAAAGATTCTGATATCCTTCTCTAAAATTTTATTAAAACAAAAGGTCTGTTATAGAAATGGTAAAAAAAAAAGTTGATGTATTTTTCATGTTAATATAGCCAGATGACTTTGCTTCTATTTTGCTTTATTAAATAAAACATACTGTTTTCTCTGACATTTATTTTTCTGACCCCAAGATTAGAAGAAACTGATCATAAGAAAAGAGCATTTTACAGTCACTTGGCTTAACTTCCACTTTAATGATAAGAAAACTATTTTCTGAAATCTGTTTCAGGCTAAAAATGCTTCATTCTGTCTGTGTGCATTTTTAATAACAGCAAAATAAGCAAACCCTCAGCTAAAGCATTGCATATTAATTTTTAATAACCTCATGCCTATTAAGTTGCCCTTTGTATCTTGTTGGTGAACAAAAGCATTTCTATAGAAAATTAACCAGAAAACAAATGTATCTCCAATGCTTTCCTTCTCCTTGGAGTTTATCAGGCAATGCTTCACACTACCAAATGTCTTTGAACTTGTATCTTCAGAAACTGCCTCCAAGGCCAATGGCTAGGATAACCAGTTCTAATTTTCTGCTTAGCCACATTTCCTTTTTCTTTATGGTTGGATTGTCCTTAGCTCTCAACAGTCTTTGTTTATGATTCCCACCAGTCCCAGGATCCCTGCAGTTGTCTGGAAGGACATGAGCATGGTAACAGTTATCAGTTATTCAATCAACAAGTTAGTGAAAATTTACTGAACATCTAGTATATGCTGGACCTTGTTCAGGGTTCTGGGGCTGTAGAAGGGACCATTTCAGCCACTTTTCTAACAACATAGCTACGGAGCACAGTGAGGCTTCCATATATTCTTTTAAAAGTATCTTTATAGTACCTTAAGTCCCAGGAGATGTTTATGAAGAACTTCACATCTGTTTCTCCCTGTCTCCTTTCAGACTCCACATCCAGATCATGGGGAAATGATACTAACAATATCACCCTCATATACTATTGTGAGGACTGAATGGGCTTTGTTATTATGGTCTGCCATGAAGATTACTCATTAAGATAACCATTTTATCATCATTTACAGTGATGGCAACCATCCATATCAAC